ATCCTGGGTTTAAATCCCTCGGCCCTTGATCTTCAATTAATCTCGGGTTTAAACCCCCTCGGCCCTTAATCTTCAATTTCATAGGGCCCGCAGCATAACAATCAAGGGATGATGATGAGTGTTACATGTTGAAATAACTATTGTTCATGAAAGTTTCAAGTCAGCAGCAAAAGAGCCCACTACATTTCAGTGTGTACACGAACATTTATATCAAGGTCGTTGAGACACAATCAAGCATAAGACACCTCGAGCGCCAAAGCCCCATCTAGCAACAAAACATGCATGATTCTAAAGTTTGGATTAAAAGACGAGTAAAATAAAGTTCTCAGCTCAACCTCGGACATAAATGTTATTTTAAGTATGCATTCTGATGCAATCAAATCAATATGATCTTTTATGCAAATTCACGTGTATATATAACAAATTGCACGATAAGTGTCACGAAAACATAAAACTCAACGAAAATATTGAAAATTTAAATTTAGCTCTTGTTTGAATCCCATTTTGAGAGAAAATACATTTTTGAATAGTAATTTATGGAGAACATGTAGGTAAAAATTAAGAAAAAGATTTCAATCTACATGTAATATATTTTTTATTGAAAAATGTATAGTTGAAAATGAGTTTTGAAAAAATTAATTTTCAAAAAAGAGGGCTCAAACAACCTCTTAATCACGACTTTCAACATAATGATGATAACATCAACTCACAAAAATGGCAAAAAAATCTCAAAAACCGTCTATAAATAAGATTATTAACATAACAATAAAATGGTTGAAAATCAGAAGGGTTAAAAGCTAAAAAAGGAAGATGAATCTTAGGGGCGGGGGGGGGGGGTGTTTAATTGCAATTTTTCCATATTTAAGCAAACATAAAAAAATAGTTACAAATAAACATAAATATATAGTTTTGAATACAAAAATGAAAAAATATATAAGTTAATTATTTTAAGACTAAATATTTACTCTCGTATCTAGCAAGGGAACTCTAATAGTTACATATTTAATTAGTCACTGCTTCTAGTATATGTATCTGTTTGTGCATATATAATTGGAGAAAAGAGTGAATTTCATCAATGGTCACTAAATTATCCCAATTGAGTCACTTTAAAAATCTTCCTGGTCATAGGACAATATGTGGTACATAAACAAAATGGTACTAATTAGTCTATGCTTTCTTTATACCTTCCTTATTGCCAATTTTACCAATGTATATTTGAGAATTTAGTAATCTAAGGTTGTGACTGTAATGAATGAATGGAGAATTGGTTCTACTTTGTGTTGGTTTCACTCATTTCTTTCATATTCAATGATATGATTTCTTGATCTTTAATTTGTGATTTAGTTTATCAAGGTGATTATTCTTTAGTGTTATGACTAATATTTTGCAAATGCATTTAAAGAAGACTTTGTTACCATATTGATTATAGAAGTCATGAAAGTGTGAAGTTGATAAATATGTGCAACAATCATCTCGTCACAATGTTTAATCCTATTGAAGGAGATAAATAGTAAGATCATATACTTACTCAATTCAGGTTGGATATCCTTCAAATGTGGGGATATTAAATTATTTAATAGGGTTTTCGTGATATTAAATTATTTAATAGGGTTTTCGTGTCTTTGGTCAATGCTTGAAAAGAAGTTAGATGAATATCAAAATGTCGTACTTTTATTTAAATCTATCTAAGTTATTCTTATTTATTGTGACGCTAATACTTTGTGAAAGTGTTTAGAAGTATATGCAGACATGAAAAATTTCAAAGAAACTCAACAACGATGAATATCTTTGAAATGTGGAGGTGTTTAATATAGATACACCTTATATTTTTTCTAGTTGTAAATTAATTCTTGAATAGTGCCCAAAAAATTAATTAAAAAAAAAAGATTTTGAATATGACAGGTGAAATGCAAGAGCTCTATCGATGCATTTTCTCAAACGTGTTACTAGAAGCCAATTTCAAAAATTTTATTATAATTATATATGTGATATTGATATTTTGGAAAATTCTTAAGTGACTTTGCAGATATGCAAATGGGCAAGTGAAGAAGAAAAGCTTTGCAAATTAATGGTACCAATTTATTGTCCAAAAGAGACATGAATTTATGTAATCCGAGATGGACATATATAAATCATCGAGGGGGATGAGTTTAAGCCCATAAGAGAGTCATCTTTGGGAGTAATCCAACTTTTATGATTGGAGATCTCATAAAGAAGGTTCAATGTGGTGAAAACAACTCGTACTGCGTAACTTGTAATAGCATTATTTATTTGCACTCATCCCTACGGCAATACAGTGCTAATAAATGCGTGTTAGGAATGATTTAACTCTGAATGAGTACAAAGGCGAGAATTCTCGCGAGGTGTGGGTCACACACACCCTTGGAGGACTCACCTATATAACAGTTGCCATGAGGTCGTGGTTATGAGATTGGTCTATTTCCTAGATACTCTTACTAGAATCAAGATAAGAGCGTATGACTATTAACAGTGCTACCCGTTATGAACTAGAGCCTAAATCGATACTGTGTGTAGAACAATTGAAGTTTGACCAAAAGGACCTAATTCAAGGCTTAGTCCATTATGGCTCCCTCAAATGGAAATTGTTATCATTGAGTGAGATTTAAGTCCAAAAGATATCTACCTATTACATAGTATAATATATATATAATCATTTTGAAAGTTTTAAAACTTGTGAGGGATTGTTGGAAAATAAGTTATAAAACTTTCAATTGAATATTAAAATTTCAGTTTTTATTTTAATTTCAACTTTTCAATTTTAATTTTATAATTTTCAGTTTTTGTTTTAGTTTTAAATTCAATACAAAAAAAAAATGAATAAATAAATTAAAACCCATTATTGTATTTGTAACATATGCTGAATTTAATTAATATCCATTATGATATAATTGAAATTTTCTACTCTAAAAGGAGGTTGATTTCTTATTGTTTTACACAACAAATCAAACACAAAATATTCTCTAGTCTTTTCATACTTCTTCCTTTTCATACTATTTTTTAGTCATTTTATATTATCTTTCTCTATAAAATTTTGGCAATTGATAAAAGCTTGTTCTTTCTCTCTCTATGGTCATACCCATAAAATGAGAGCCATATGAGTTTCATCTTGGAATCATGTAGTGCCAAAAGAACCTACACGAAGGAGATGTAACAAGATTTTAGGACAGCGTCTTCAACATGACTCCCAAGACTTGCTTTATTTCTGACCCTCTCCTTATGTTTGTATTATTTTGAATCATGTTTATGTTATTTAATTGAATTGTGTTATTCACTCATTAACCATGTTTCATTATTCGCTGAACTTTAAAATTCTTTCAAATGGTAAATGAAATTTAACATATAGCACTCCATTAGTCGCTCATCATGTTTCATTAGTCGCTAAACTTATACCTCTTTCACGCTTTATTCATTGAACTTTAGAATACTTTTGAGTGGTCATTAAACTTTACTCGTTGAATCCAAATATTCAAAATTGAAAATTTTGAAGTATAAAATATCATATACAAAGACGACATTCTTCGTTCTTCTTGAATTACCTTGTGATAATCCAAAATTCATATTTTGTTAGTCTTGATTAATATTATTAACTCTACATCGAAATTCCACAATCTATTTGCGATAATGTTTTTTATTTTCTTGATTTCGGTCTAATCGAAATAAAGAATAATTTCTTTATTTTATTTTCTCAACGTAAAGGAGGATTTTTAGCTAAATTAAGATTTATGTCAATTCTAAGCTATCATCTCTCTTTTCCTTTGAACATTGCTTTTGACAACTAAAAAGATTATATTTATTGACAAATATCAATATTTTCGATATAAAATGAAGCCTCGTTTGGGAGCGATTTTGATAATTAATTTTTTGACCGTTACGAGAAAAGTGGGAGCCACATGTAAGAGAAGAAATCAAACTTTACGACTGGAATAATGAGATAATGGTCAAATAATCAATTTTTTGGGGGTGAAAAATCACTCCCAAACACCCCCTAAAAATCTTATTATCTGGTTGATATTTATTTATTTTATTTTCTTGATCTAAGTCAAATCTCATAGAAAATAAATTTACTTGAAAACATTATGAATTTCAATGATCACTCGTAAGCGTTTTAAATTTCAGTGAATAAAGCATGACAAAAATATAAGTTCATTGACTAATGAAACATGAGAAGCGTGTGATGAAATGCAATTTGTTAAATTTTAGCAATCACTTTGAAGAATTTTAGAGTTCTGTAACTTATAAAACATGATGAATAAGTGTTGAAGTACAACATGTTAAGGTTTAATAACCACTTGGAAGTATTTTAAAATTCAATTACTCTAACGTGATGAAAGCATAAATTTAGTTATTAATGAAACATTAGCTGCCCATGGTGTTACCACGTGAAACCACTATAGTTTACTATTCAAACACTGGACATTATAACGCATACCCATCGTGGACATTAGATCATTTCTCAATGACACATTCAACTCGAACTCTAATGTTCATTGACTCGTACAAAGAGAAAAATGATCTTGTCCTTCTCTCCCTCTTCTTCCTTCCCAACAATTGCATCTCTAAAATCAACTAACCCTAACACCAGCAAGTTCAAGATTACAGAAAAGCCCATTACTATTTTCACCAGAAACGCCTTAAAATTCACATATTCCACTCCCAAAATCCTCAATTCCACCTTAACCAAAGCCTGTAAAGACCAAGAAAATGCCAGTCTTGCCTCTGAACCAGTGAACCTGAAACCCAGTATAGAAAGGGCAACACCATGAATAGGGGAATAGTGATGTGCGAGGGTAGGGGGCCAAAACAAGGTCGTGCATTTGACAAACTGGGTGTGGCTGAAGTCGAAGGCGAAGTTAGAAAAGAACATAGCTAATGAGATTTTTCGGATATTTTGAAAAATATAACATTAGTCGATGATCAAACGTTAAAATGTCAACCTCCCAGTATAAGCAAACGAGTGTGTCCCATATTGGCTACCATTGTTCATTAAAAACCAAGTCACTCTTAAGACACAAAACTGATCAGTTTTAACATCCAACCTGTAAGTATTATGCCCTAGGTTCAATTAATTTTGGACATAAATACTTTTATATATAATTAATGCAATTAAATGGCAGATCTATTATTTAATTAATAGACAATTAAATAAATAATAGAGTCCGTAAATTCAAATATTTATAATTTGTTAATCACAAGGAGTTGTGATTGTGTGATACAAATTACATCTGATTGAATCTTAAATCATCCGTGGTCGTAAGTAATAACGAGATACGGATATCGTTGTTACAGATAGACCATCACGTGTGGCATTTCTTACTTGTGAAGTAAGTAGCTGATCTCACAAGTTAAAGTGTGGTGACACTTAAATGAACAAGTGGATGTTTTGTTATAGAACAAAACATTGGAGACCCGTCGAGAGATTCCACATGGATAACTATCTGAGTGTCAGTGGTTAATCTCTAACGTTCGGTAGTGGAATTGGTCCTTTGATTTGAGGTCGTCATGGTACCTTATATGAGGACAGTCATACTTTGACGGTGTTGGATGTTGCTCTGAAAAGGGCCGCTAATACGACATCGTTCGGGTACGTCAAGAATCGTATGAAGGTTGTGATTGATCAATAAAGGATTCGTCACTCTTAGATAGTAGGAGATTATGATCTGCATTTCATTCAATTAAGTCAATGATGAAATCCTTGGCTAAGGTGTACTCATAAGTCGAAAAGAAGTTTTCGATTTATATTGACTTAATAGTGGAGTGAAAGATATGATCGATGATCGAGATTGACACAACTCCATATCTCGTAATTGATCGGATCATATTGACGAAGGGATTATAGTTTCACGGTAAACGAACGAATTTGGTTTTGTCATACCACTTGACATTTCCCGTCACATGTATTGCCCTGACACATTGCTAGATGTCAATCAGGGACGGCGAATGTGAATTGACGATAAATTAAAAGGGTGTTTTAATTTATCGATTTTGATTAGATCAAAATAATATTTCACATCGTTAGGCATCGTGGTCGGGAACCTAATGGGTCACACACAAAAGAGAATTGGAAGATTGCAAATTGCCAATTGGTTAATTTAACAATCGTTGGATAAATTAATTAATTGAATTTGTTATTTATATTTCCGAATTAATTAATTTTCACGGACCGGGTTTAATTAATTGGATTAATTAATTATTGGACCGGACCGGGCCGAGCCGAGCCTATTTGTGTTTATATAAATACATAACTATGGTTTGGGGTCCATAATGATTTTCATTATTCTTGCTAACACAAGAAAAAACCCTAAAGGCTGCAATCATATTCTCTGTGTGGATCACCGTTGGAGGCTGTACAATTGGACAGCTGTGGTGGCGAATCAAAGTTGTGGAACGAAAAGAAAAGCAAAAGGATTGCAGATCTGGAAAAGGTACAATCTTATCACAATTTCTATCTAAACAAAAAGGCAATTCTTGGTGGGAATCGAAAATTATTTTAAATTCCGCTGTGCATGTATAAGTAGATTCCCAACAGTGGTATCAGAGCCTACTTTGTATTTGTTAGAAATTGTTTAACATATTTGTGCGATCAATAGTTGATTGTTATATTTTTTCTTGTTTCTAGCGATTAAATGAAAATTCGATTTTCATAAATTTGAAATCTGATTTCGAAGAAAAAAAAACGAAAAATGGATTGGAAGGTGGGATCGCAGCGACGAACTGCCGCTGCCGCTGCCAGCAGCAGGTCGCTGTTGGCAGTAGGAAGGGGACTTGTTCTGCAATTTTAAATTTTGGAAGGGTCCGATGTTAATTTCAAACTTGGGTCAATTTGCAAGTTTTCAAAATGTTTTTGAATTTCAATTTTGAAAAGGTTTTAAAAATAATTTTAATTGGGTTCGACCCATAATTTTGATTTTGACCCAAATTAAAATTTTATTTAAAATTGACGACATTTTTATATTTTTGTTAAAATTAGATTTTGACTTAAATATTAAACTTTGACCCTAAATTGAATTTTATTTAGGAATTTTATCCTAAATTAAAATCTTAATTCAATTTAAGTTAGAATTGGATTATAATTTAGTGTTTAATTAAAATTTGATTTTAATTAAATTATTCACCCAAAGATATTTTAGATATTAGAATTAGATTCTAATTTGACGTTTAATTAAAATTTGATTTTAATTAAATTGTCTCGCCCTAAATTTCTTCTTGAAATTAGAGTTGGACTCTAAATTGGTATTTAATTAAAATTTTGATTTTAATTAAATTAATTCGCCCTTAATTATTGGAATTAGAGTTAAGACTCTAATTTTGTTATTTAATTAAAATTTGATTTTAATTAAATTCAACCGCCTTGAGTTATGAAATTAGAGTTGGACTTTAATTTTATATTTAATTGAAATATGATTTTAATTAAATAGTTCCGCCATATAATTGTGAAATTAGAGTTTGACTCTAATTTTATATTTAATTAAGATTTGATTTAATTAAATAATCTCGCCATTTAATTGTTGAATTAGAGTTGGAATCTAATTTGTTATTTAATTAAAATTTCATTTTAATTAAATATTCTCGCTAATTAAATAATCGATTAATATGATTAATTAATTATTTAATTATTCCGATCCATTTGTCTAAAAGAGTTTAGACGACTTAATTGCTAGAAACTTGAAACTTATTTACATATAATATTAGATATTATATAGGTATACATTTATGTGATGAATGTATTATTAGTGGACGATTATGGACTCGACCATATGGATGTGTTGAATGGTTAATTTTTATTTTGTCATTTTATGGGCCTGCGAGCCCGTTATTATTGTTATTATTTTGGACCTGCGAGTCCATTATTATTATTGTTACTATGGGCCTGCGAGTCCAATTTCATTTAGGCCTGCGTGCCAACTAGTATAGGATACATGTTGAAATTGGACTAATTGAAAAGATAAAAAGAGGTGGAGACCATGGAGATGGTGCATTGACACTGTTCAATGCTATACCCCCTAGGAATTGACCAACTAGTCTTCCTTATGGCTCGGGAAGACTAGATAGTAAAAGTTCATTATCGTCCACACTATTATATATATGTAATTGCATAGTAGATGTATAATAGTAATATATATATATATTATTGTATTGTTGTTGATGAGACTTATGAATGCAAAATCTCTCCATAAAATATTAAGTCACATTTGTAATCGTCTTCCATCATTATAGTGAAAAACCAGAGTCCCAAATCGTCTCAGCTTGTTGAGTACACTCAAGGCTGGTCCATTAGGGATATGTTTGACA